TTCTGGTTTGAAAGAAGAGAGGGTAAATCGTCGCGCGCGTTACTTGTCTCGTAGCAAATGACAAAGGTGAGTTGAAGTCGCTGGCCTTCTAAATAGCTCGCTCGGACTCTATACCAGCATGAGAGCACAGCGCTTGCGCTAGTCAGAAAACTACATGAGTGTTGTCAATGCAAATGGACGCTGAAGAACACGACCGAGATCAATGACCTGTAGGGTAAAGGGCAGCGCCCAATAGGGACCTCAGTAGCTTATAGGTGCCTTTTACAATGACAGCGCTCACATATTAATTGAGGAAGTAGTGTATACCATTACTTCTATGAAGTTGTTGCCAGAAGTCTAAAGGCCCGGCCAAACGGTAAATATTGCACGATGCAACACCATAGAACATTGTTGCGCGATGCAGCATTTTCTCGTTTAGCCACCGTGTTTGAAGGTGTTGGATGTTGTTGGATGGAGCATGCAACATGTTGCACGGAGTTTGAAGGCCGTCAAATATTCAATGCAACACCGTGCAACATTTCTTTTGTTCTCGTGTTTGACGTGCGATGTTTTGCCGTTTGGACGGTTATATGAAACGTTTCATGCACGCATGCGTACTGCGCCTCGTATTTGACGCATTATGGGTATTTTTGTAGACAATAATAGTCTTCCCGGCAATGTTTTAAGACAATGTTTCAAACCGTTTGGCCACCCTCAAATTTGTTTGATGATCCAACAATGTTGCACCGCGCAACAATGTTGCATGGTGTTGCATCGTGCTACATTTACCGTTTGGCCGGGCCTTAAGCCTGCCTGTAATCTTGGTATATATATTTTCAAAACAAGTGAGTCGACAGATAAGGCATATCTTAAAAAACAACTTTCAGAAAAGGTGAAATTTATATCTAATCGTATATCGCTAATTGTAAAAGTCATGAATAATTGAGGAAAACACAATAGAAATCACAACCGTGAAGATTGTTGTAATATTTGATACAAAACTGTCTTGATTTGCATAAACTTCAAATCTAATTTTCTAGCAAAAATTCAATTTTATCTTTAAGCTTTTAGTAGATTATGAATGTATACACCTAAACGTTTCATAAGTAATTTCCAACATTCGTGTCTGTGTTGTATGGGCGGACGCGAATGTTGTAATCATTACTTAAAGTGTTATAACTTTAACAAGGAGCTACAACTAACCATAATGCTTAGCGTACTTTTATTTCTATACATCTTTGGATCTTTTTGTTCATTGCGATCATCAAGGACAATCTGCATCGTCGATTATCTCTCACAGTCAACTGTAAACTGTAGAGTGGTTTTTGTCCAGAAATTGTGAAATATCTACTACACTTAAACACAGTACTTCACCCAGTGAAGCCATAAAAAACATCGGTCAATATGACAATAATAAACACAGTTGACCATACTGACGATTAGAGTCGTTAACCCGTGAAACAATTACCAGACTATTGGAGTCTTTGACCAAGTAATGAAAATGACCATTTAGTTAGCATTTGTTGGTGAAACAATAGATTCATAGCTTGATAATCTTTAACCGTCAAATGAAATCAACTTTAGTTATG